AAAAAAAAATGTATGATAGTGTAGCATACGTTACGTTATTTCTAGACAGCGGATTTTTCTGCAAATCTCGGGAATAATTTGACACTTCTATTCAAGAATTTTATCGGCAGGAAAAATTTGACACAAAGGGAAATGGCTTTTCCCCCTCACATTCGATTTTCAACTGAAGGAAAATCTTGTCACTCAAATTTAAAATACCCAAAATTAGGAAAAGCTTAGGCGCATTTAAAATAATGATTTTCCGCAGAATTGAAAAAAACTGTGAATTTCAGAAACGAATTCTAAGCATAACGTAAATGTCATTAAAGATAGATTGACATAGAATTTTCGGAGACTATTGCAAAGAATCAACAGAACAACGCTGAAAATGTCTTAAATTATCTTTATCCGATTTTTATAATGCAGAAACTTGTGGAGTAAGATCGGAATAACGAAAGAATACTTCGTGATATTCTGTTTGCGCAACGTATTCAAAATTCTAAATGAGGCACACACAAAAAAATATTCTCGTCAGACGATGCATTTGAATTTAAAATCATGCATTCACGTTTACTGAACATGATTTTCACCAAAGTTTTATCTAAGATTGATTCGTAAAAGCGGAGGAGAAAAATTTGGGGCAGCCCCAAGTAGAAACGTTAAAGTGAACTTCTGTTCAAAATCTCGCAATTCTTTTGCAGACGTTGCTAAACGAAGGTTAAAAAATGTCAAGGGCAAAGCAGGACATTGCAAATGTGTGTGTGTGTGCGTGATATTAGGCCACTGATTTCGCTGCCCACTTTATTGCTACAGTTGAGGGAAGAGAAAATTATAGCTTCCGACATGAGCTCATCCGTCACGTTGCTAACTGCCGTCTGACAGAGCTTACCGGGAAAGTGTTCTGAGTCAGTATATGCACGTTTTCAATTTTTATTCCAACCCATACGAAGCAAATTTCCGTCAGCCACTCCATCTTTTCTTGGTGCTTCCAAAAAAATTAATAAATATACTTCAACAGTATTTACTGAAAAAAAACGCATCCTGAGATTGTTCTTCAAATTTTGTTCCTCTCCGAAATGCTCTTGCAAATCTAATGCGAGTCTTTGAAAAATGTACTTGTTCAATTTTTATTCCGACCCATATATTCAAAGTAAATTTCCTCCAGCCACTCCAGCTTTTCTTATAGTGCTTCGTACGGAAAAAAAGCTAAATCTACTGCAACTTCATTTACATTAAAAATATACCCTGCAATTTTCTGCTAAAAAAATGTTTCCCTATCCAATTCTTTAAATGTTGCAGGCAAAATAAATGCGCGCCTTAAAAAATGCAATTTTCAATTTTTATACGAAGAAAATCTACGTCAGCAACTCAATTTTTTCTTAATGCGTCCTACAGAAAAAATTAAATCTACTTTTACAATATACTTGAAAAACCCCCAAGATTTCTCTTAAAATTGTGTCCTTCGAATTTATGAAATTTTGCTAGAATTTTTGATGTGCCTTTAAAAATGTGAGTGAATAGCTCATCGGTAGCTTATTTCGCAGATATTATTTCTAACGCTTTTTAAAAATTGTTAGACCTTAAATGCTGCAGAACTCGAAATT